ACCCATCGATGCTCAAAGTTTACGTTGCTGACATAGCGTTATTCACGACCAGCCGCCTATAGCGTTATTCACGACCAGCCACCTGACTGAGTTCCGTAGATGACTCATCATTCACTGTCCATAGCACCGTCAACACTCATGTAACTTACAGTCCTCATCGATCAATTAAAATGCTCCTCATCGCTATAATGTTGAAATCTTAGCTTGGCCGAAACACGGACAGTCTGTAACCCTCACCACCTCAGCATACTGTCTCCATCTCCGCGGCATACAGTCTCCTCCCTCCGCCCCCAGCATACTGTCTCCCTCAGCCGCCGCGCCGGCCGCGAATAGACGCGGCGCGGCATCGCTTACGATTAAGCAAAGGCTACTTCGTTATAATCTCATTATTATTGTTAATATTGTGTTAATGGTATTACAATGTTTGAATGCTATTGCCTCATTGTTAGCCTCACTTCACTACAGGCCTTAGCACCTCAGAGCTCTAACTTGTCTCATTCCTCTACCACTACTTCTCTATAGTTACTATTATGTTATTATTGTTGCATTTATGTATATGAAGGTTTAATTACCCAAGTTTGAGGTATTGCCGTGTGACTACTACGAAAAGTCCCGCGTGGCATTTATTCACGAAGTCGAGCATTCTGCTAAAAGCTAGTGATTACTGGGTGCCGAGAACTGACTCGAAGGCCTATTTTCGACTAGCAACTACAAAAGAAGGGTTCAGGCAAGGTGATTCCTCCCCACCAAAATTATTTACCGCCACCCTCGAGAACGTCATGCGAACATTGGAACGGGACAACATGAGAGTAAAAATCGATGGCCGCCAATTACACCACCTTCACTTTGCTGATGACATCGTTCTTATAACACCAAACACTAGCCAAGCGGAATGAATGACTGTCAACTTTGATAAAGCCTGCGGAGATAATGGGTTTCAAAAACGAAGTCTCACAAAAACGATGTTAATGAAGAGCAGATTTGCTTCGTACGCTCATTCATCCTCAACGGAATATCTCCGAAAGCTCTAGCTATATATATCTAGGTCGGGAAATCAACATGATGAACGAGTTAGTTCAAGCAATGCTCCCCCCCGATCAGATGGCTAGTGCTCTTCACGAAAACCCTGGAAAGATATAACGCTCACCGGGTCCCTAGAGCAAGCAGAACACATTCGGCTAATGTTGCACAGGAGGGGGGAAAAGGAAGGCAGCGCCAGCTCGAGTCACTCCACGATCGACGTGACGACAGGCAATACAGCAAAAAATCAAAAGGCTATACAAACGCATAAGTATATAGACCGTACTAATTGTGTAATTTCGTCAAATATCCAAGAACCATGACAAAACACAGTAAAGTATCCCCTTCGCCTACATCTGACGAGTCTCTACCGACTATTCAGGAGACGTCAAGAGTATCGCACTTTCCGTATGACTCCCTGTAGATTTATCGTTTTTAGAAAATAGGATAGACATGGATAGCTTAGCAGTTTCTATCATGGTGTTTCGTATACTTACGATTTATTTCTCAACCTCATTCAATGTTATCTGGCTCTCAATGTCAGAGGTGATTTCGTAGCATCTCTGGTTTGCTGCTCAGTAACATGACTTTTGAACGAATCAAAATGCAGACTGAACCATGCGCATGGGATCCATGGTTTTCGTGCCTCCTAGCGAACAAAACCCCGTAGGCTACCTTGGAACGTGATGGCGACGCATGGACAGCTTTATATTGTCCAGGAGAGCAAATCGACTGTTAACAAGGAGTGGGGCAGCGGTGATCCATAAAAGTATGTACGAAAATAAATCTTACGTGCAGTTACTCTTATGTTTCAAGTTGATATTCTCATGAATAACCGTCGCTTTAGTAAAACCAAGGCGGATTTCTTCATATGAATAATTCACATAGACTGGCATTGCTACTATAGACATATATCGACAGCGATTTAATAGAACCGGTTGGAAAGGATTCTGAAATGGAAGCATTTCTAGATTGAAGATATGAAACACTAAGTAGAAATGATACAACCTTTATGATAAAAAATAAAAGGATAAAGCTCCCGGCGTTGATCAAATCCTTAGCAGTGCACCACGCATCCGACTTCATTAAACACCGTTTGGAGGTGACTGAATGCATATCTGGCCTTTACAATGACTCGTGGTGGCCTACCGATGTATCGAGTAAGTGTTGCTATGCTCCCCAGACAAGTCTGGTAGCAAATTGCCGATCCAGAAGAGATCAAAGGCTTGGTGAGCCTTGGGCACGGAGATCGATCTCGTGGTCTTCTCCACCACGGACAGCCGTAGCCCTTGTGGATCAGAGGGAGATTTGCCACCATGTGACTTTGACACCAGGACAGTGACGGATCCTGGTATTGGTTTACTCTTAGCTAGACTTCCTGATGAAAACGCCGGACTCCTTCTCAGCTTGGGAGACCCTGCCGTGGGGACGAATCCCCCCGCTGTATATAGCAGTCCAATATCCAGTAACATTTCCCAGCCACGATGAGGCAGTAAACCATTGGGATGGTTTAACGATTTATGTTATTCAAAGTACAATTTAACACAAAGCGACTAGTACCACGACTACGATAAAAGAAACACGGGTGCTCTACATTGTGCACCAATCGTATCTACGTGCAAACAAATTTTAACCCGTTCTGCATCTAACCAAAGTTGCACAGGGTTGGAAAGGAATGAAAGGAATGCCGCAGTAAATATCGTTGTGCTGAGGTCAATAATGTTATACAAGAAAAGAAAGAATCTCATTTCAAACCTTTTTGATGATGTCTAGTGAAGGAAGAGAGGCAAAAGCGAATCGAGCAGATGCATAAATGGAAGCGTCTCCAGCAGTTATAGATACTTCAACGCACATCGATGAGCACGACACTTCACGATCAAACTGATCCTTGGTTATGAGATGAATCTGTTGCAAAAGATTACTTCCGAAATAAGGTAGTAATCAATATTTCAGATGATAAGGACAAACTTTAACGGGTTTTCCCACAACCATTTCTGTTTGGATTATACTCAGCTGACAACGACCTGGATCTACTGCTGGACCATAAGGCAACCAACGTGCAAGAAAACCTGCTGTTGATGTCGAACTAGCGGATAGGAACTCCCGCAGAAATATCAGATCTAAAATAAAAACTAATGAAGAAAATGGTTTTAAGAATGACTTGTTGGTATCATAGGTGATGATGTAGGAGACACGAGATGACTGACAGTTAGAGAAGTTAGAGAAGAAGTGAAAAATTACCGATAATATAAATAAGCAATGATTTGAAAAATTGCACAAATAAGGGCGCTTTTTTGAAAACTTTGAAAGCAGTGTACCTGGAGATTGTGCAGGTCGAGGTAATCCTTTTTGAATAAGCTCGTGCAATGTAGGTGGATGTGTCAGGCTTAGACCTTTCTTTAGAAGTGATCCGTGCTTCCCCAATAAAACCCTTGTATCATCTTCCACAGGAGAGGAATGTGCAATGGACGGTGAATCAGACGATAACTACAACGAATCGTGATTATTTCTCGAGATGATGGTGAAATTAGGCAGAAAGGTCATTTTCAAATTATTTTACAGGCTTGCCATATCCCACCAAAAAGAGACAGAGGGAGAAAACGTTCCAAGAAAGAATCTATCAGTCCATTAGTGGCTGTAGAAGTACACCAATATCCATTTACCATAATGAAGGATAAGGTCTTCTATATACCTAAGGAACATACTAATAATATAAATTAACACATCCATTTTGCAAAACAGGAGTAAAAACTTCGATATCCGTAAAGGGACACAGCGCATTGGTTAAAGGCGCTCTACAATACACATAGGTTCGATCCCAAGCCACAAAATACTATGTATTTCACTTTTTTGGACCCGGTTGACTTCTACCAGTCCTCCCTGGGTGGATAGCGGCACTAACATGATACATCGGTACACCACTGTGAGTCACGGTATAGGCCAGATAAGCACTTAGTCACCTCTAACGATGCTTGATGAAGGTGAATGGATGACGTATCCCTAAGGAATTGATCAACGCCAAGAGCTTTAACCCTTTATCTGATTGTGCTGAACAATTAAACGCCCCACAGCCATGCTACATGTACAAAGAATGGTAAGCTAGAAAGGGCAAACGGATTTCATAAAAAGTAACGGCATAGGCCTGTAGTGGACCATGTGCACAGTAATAGTAAAAAGATGTTATTGTATAGACACTATCAACCCTTAAAATTCATCACGAAGTGGTAGAATTGCCCATTTAAGAGAACTAAAGAATCCGTGTCTTCCTTTGGTATACTGGTACCACTAGAGAAGTTTTTGACCCGCGTAGATCTCACTTTTAACTCAACGTGAACAACACACGGGTGGTCCCACATGCAACGGCACGGTGAGCAGTTTTTAAGCGAAGTGGAACTCACTCATATGTTAGATCTTTATTAATACTATAGATATTTCACCGAAACATAACGCTATTGTTATATAAAATAAGTCCAGGCTCTGAGGAAGGCGAAATCGCCGAAACGTCTGCCATTGAACAACAGCAAGTACAACAACAACAACGACAACTTAAACTTACCTCGCAATAGCTCAATAAGAGCAACTCGCCAGAATACAATTGGAGAAGTTATTCTTTGAACCTCTGATAAAGCTAACTATTAACGTTAACCTTTAGCCACTATGGAACCCCTCTAGTCATCAATCACAGCTTGTACTGACTAACTTATTTGAAGTTCGATTAACCAAGTGGAAGGATGCGGTTTGGATAAACCAAAAATAAACGTGCCAGCAAAAAAAATGTGTTTGAAACAAATTTGTCCAGCTAGTGGAATTTCATTAAATATCCTCTTAAATTTCATCGACTGCCAGTTTCTAAAAGTATTTTGACCAAAGAATGAACCCATCATATATAAGATCCTAGGAGGACCACAAAATATAGTTCCCATCGAACTATTACTACACTCGTAAGGAAAGTGTTGAAGAGGTTAACACCAATGTGCCGAAGAGTACAGCTCGCGAAATTATCTTGTCATGGAGAACAAAGCGAATACACATCGAAAGAGAAATAACGATAAGTTGGCGATGTTAAGGAAAGAGTATTCGTAGCTGCAAACGATCTATGGATCATGGAATGATGCTGATGACCACTAGGAAGTGAACGAACAGAAATGTGGTCAAGCCAATCCGAATACTAGAAGCGAGTTATCTAGGTATTCAAGTAAGAGTATGCGTAGTGAGGAAAATAAGTCTGGTGTGGCAGCATAAGAGAACAAAATTCACTGACTTCCTTTCATGTAGGCTACTTGAACGTGTAGGAATTATGGCTACGATTCCAACTAAGAACGCATGAAGAACAATGTCAGAGGCTTACACTGAGACTAGGCAATACTTAACATTAAGCTACAGAGAAGATAAGACCAAGTAAGACCATATTCCAAATTTCTTAACTCAAAGTTATCAATTCCTTCTAATAATTAGTAACCTAATAATCGGATGCTCACGGTTGAATAAGTTTGGACCACTACTCTGAGAATGTTCGTTGTACGAACTCCGAGATCAAGCTATGCTGAAGACAAGCATTGCCCATGAACCTGAGGAAGTTCTACAGAGAAGGTCATACCAAACATGAGATCAAATGAAATTTTCGATGCTAATACCAGTTTCTGCATAATGTCAGAGGAATTTTACAATGGAACTCATAAACTGGAGCGTGACAAACATGGTGAGAAGCTCATGAACTTCAACACGACATTCAAGACCATCCCTTACTTACTTGGATATTTGGACAGCCCGTGTTCACTGCTAGTATGGGCCACAGCAAATATTCCATTTGTTCCTCTCTTGCACTAGCGTCGTCCGTGGTGGTGGTCTGCTGCGAACATGATGATGTTCTCAAGACCCATTCCGTATTCCTTAAACCATTTCCATCTGCCAGCGCAGACGGTTGATATTAACTATGAACGTGTCTGCAGATCGTTTGGGTTGTCGTCTAAGAGTACGCCTGCGTCCTCTCGAAGTCCCTTCCACTGTTCTTTTCATCCATCTGTCATACGTTTTCTTTTGTTATATGACTGGCCTTTCTGTGTTTTTCTATCCACGTGTGTTCTCCTGGATTCCGAAAATGGGATATGTTTCGAACATCTGAGCTATAAATTTAGGCCAGACTTGTGAGTGCTGGTTAAACTTCAAAAGACGTCATACAAGCGCTCTGTGGATGGTGCAAATAGTTCTTGAAGTGAAGTGCCAGCTCATGCATAACAGGAGCGCTAGGAGGAGCCCTAATTCGAAAAGGTAGGCGCGGAATATAGATCTGCTAGTTGGACCGTGGCTTCTTCGACAGGCCTATCCTACTCTACTTTTTCTAGCTAGTTCCTCCTTCATGTTGTTCTCCACGTTGATTTAACGTTGAAAGCAAAGTTCTCCATGTTCTTTGAACAACAAAGATACACATGAAAAGTGGCCTTTGTAAGGAGGAAAACATTTGGGTCGATTTGCTCGCCATCGCAACATGGCTTTTCGTCCTATGTGCGCTGTCCAATCTTTTTTCCCTCGTTGTTGAGTCCATTGGGCATCGTCTCTGGTTTACTGGTACTCCTCGAAAAGATTACGAAGTCATTCAAGAAATGAAGATTTGGTAGGATTTTATCCATACGTATGCCCTCTCCATCCCAATCGAGTGATTTCGTTATCGCGCCATGTTGAAGCCCTTTTCTTATGGGTATGATGAGGGTTCGATGAAAAAGCTGTGCAGTTGTACTGCTGTTCCGATAACAGTCAGCTAGTGTTCGTACATAGGACGGGCCCACTCCTTGGTCGACGAGTGCTGATGGAATTGCATTCGTGTCGACGCTGTCAAAAGCCTTTCCGGTAGACAAAGTAAGAGCAGGAAGCAGGTGGTAGACTCGACAAAATTCTGTGGCCAGAAGTACGGTTTGGACGTAATCCATGAAGCATAATCTCTGTTGAAATCCTGCATGCTCAATTGGTTGTGCCCTATCCAAGGTTTTCGATATGCGCAAAAGGATAATCTTTGGGAACAGTTTGTAGAACGCACTCTATAAGCATATTGGACGGGAGCTACGAACATCTCTACGGTCACCTTCCTGGATAAGACGATTGTGCGCAACGCCGTTCGCTGGTCTGTGGTTTTCTCTTTTTAAAGGTAACACATGATATGGGTAGCGAGAAGTGCATGTAATTTGTAGCCACCAGCTCAAATGAAAACGGTGGCGGTATTATCGAGCCTGCGCCTCCCTTTATGCTTCTCATTTCAACTCGAACCTCCGAGTTTAGAACCCAGTGCGATTACTTGCCAGCGGGATTGAACATTACAGTCGCAAAGACTCCGAAGGCATTTCGCCAGACTAGATCGTTTCTAAGCTGTTTCAAATTGCTCTTTCTAGTCATACCGATGTAAATCCTCTTGCAAAAACCTTTTACAGCTGGCATTTATTATCAACCGTGTTTACTTCTCGTTTCCAGCAACTCCTTAGTGGTAATAGAGATGTTGTCTGGATTTCTTGTTTGAGGAACAGAGAGGAGTTCACCAAAAATCCTTCCACAAGAAGCTTCTACTCCTCGGATGGTTCATCCTTTTTCAGCCACTCACATGAAAAAAGGGTTTTTTCCGACGGCATGTTCTTCATACACCAGCCATCTCTTTTTTCTTGAATAACGACAGGAGTTCTTCTCCAACTTATGGCTGAATCGAATCTTCCCATGAAAAAGCGGTGATCGGGTGCAGTACAGAATCCAGATACCAGTGAGATATCAGATGCACTATTTTCTGTTCGTGAGAATATTACCAATCCGCGAATGAGTTATGCCGTTAAAAGACTCCCACATCTACCGGCGACTTTTTCCCTTCTTGAAAAATGAATTGCCGTGGAACAGACGTGCTGTGGATACAAGTCCTTAAGATGTCTCCCACTCTTATGTCGACCGTTGATCACTAATTCCGAATATTCCTATCGTGGATTCCTTTCCATTGGTCTTTCGTGACATGGCACTGAACTCTTCAACAATGAACCTACAGAAGTATGTTTCGTTGCGGACTACTTGCTCCAAATTAGTACCAAACGCATCCAGGTGCATGATTTGACATTCTTTTAACGTAAGGTTGGAAATGAAGAACTGTCAAACGCGGTGGTAAGATTTCGTACGAGGTGACTATATGGAGAACAGACATATACGACAAAGCCAACGCGTCAGACATTTCATAACGGAAATTTCCTCCCACGAATGACAAAGGTAGCATCATCCAGTGGACACATACCAGCCTTCCTGCTCTTCGTTTCTTGTCGGGAGACCACATAGAATTTGATGCGACTAGCGGCCACAAGAAGGGCGTAGAGATCGGCGTCTGAGGAGACTGTTCCGGTGTTCTAGATCCAAAGCAAGAAGAAGCCTCAATGGAGCGTTGCGAGCGTGTTTGTTTTGCCCTTTTTTTATATGATTGCCTCTCACCGGTTGCTGACTGAGTCATTGTGGTTCTTTGGCGTCCACAGACTAGCCTGGCTGATGCCTTCCTCAGATCGTCACCTCCAGTCCAGAGGCCCTGTGGATCACAGCGAGATTTTCCACCATGTGACTAATCCAATACCAGAACAGCGGTGAGTCCTGGTTTTGCTTTACTCTTAGGTGGGCTTCCGGATGAAAACGCCGTACTCCTTCTTAGCATTGGAGGCCTTGCTGAGGGGATAAACCCATCGCTGTACATCGCATTCCGACACAGAGGAACACCACCCCAAGCACAATAAGGCGATAAACCTTTGGGAGGTCTATTACGAGGACGTTATATTATAACATTCAAATTCCGAAGCCACCCCTTGACGATAAATGTTAGCGATTTTCACTGAATATCTTACTACAGACCATATCATAGTCGATCGAGGGTGCTAGGAATACATCGTATAATGAAAGTGAGAGAGTACTGGTAACCTGCCCCAAAATAGATCAAATTCCTTCAAGATATAGAAAACTGGATGATTCGGATATGTACCAATACTTAGTTGCACCCGTTGTTTAAGAAATATAACTGGTGTATCAATGCAAAGCATAAACGCAACCGATTCTCTGCTAAGATTTTTCTATAGGGATTTTACACACAAAAATATTCTGCTCTTCGAGCGAGATCGTTGGAAATCATGAATCGGTTGCCTGAGTCACTTAGGAATACGTGGTAGCACATATGGAACAGTTGATTATTTTAGACTGTATAAAAGATACTTACCTGAACCATAATTCTACAAGCGCTTGCCGATAGCCAAGTAAGTTCTTGTTCCAATCGGAGATTAGAGTTTTTGCAAACAGCAGAATATCCAGTTACAGTACAGTGAAAGCCATACATCTAAACATGCTTAACTATTCAAAATACTGAATCGTTCGGTTTAATGCAAAACCTTTTTCATCACCTGTATCATCTTTGAGTTTCGATCGTTGAAGCAGGTCGGAGGTTCGGATCCCATCCCTCACTTGTGTGAAACGGGATACTCTTAGCATTGTCCTTTCGACTGCGCGTTCGATAACACTGAGTGATCTTTCATCCTGGTTACGCAGCGACCTGGATGCTGTAACTGTTCCGTCTAGGCGTCGGAGTGCAACCATCTTAGTCTTGTAATTGACGAAGCTTCGGTGGGCTTTGCAAATGCTTTTCCCAGCCTCTGCATCCTCGACCATTTCTGCTGCTCTTCTCTCTCTAAGATCTTCTTTTATCGCCTTTCTGCATTATTTTGCAAGTTAGGACGTTGGTTCGCGGTTGTCTATAGCTCGTGCAATTCCACGCTGGCGTGTCAGCTCGAGTGTTTCTGAAGACAAACGTCTCTTGGTGACTTTCGAACTCTCAGCTTTCATAGCGCTAACGTGAAGAAGTTGGATGAGTCGATCGTATTCCTCGTCGATGTTATCGACAACGGCATCCTCCCAGCAGCCGACTAATGAATTGAATAAACCCCAGTTTACGGTGGTTCTGGGATTTCGGTTTTTGAATTTAGCACCTTTTTCTACTTTCAGAGAAAAAAAGAATCTTTCACGAGGGAGACGATGGTCTGATCCCGTGTAGAATTTTGGGACAACAATGACATCGGTTAGGCAAAACCTTCTATTTATAATGATGTGGTCTATTTCGTTATATTACTCTCCATTGGGAGACTCCCACCTCCAGCGTTGAGAGTGGGGCTTCTGGAATTGCGAGTTTTCACGGATGGTCTTCGCCGCCATGAAAAACTTAGATAGCCGCTCACCTTGTTGGTTGCATTCTAATCCGTGGGTCCCAATGTGACGTTCTTCAGACGTTCATCTTGGTCCAATCTTGGCGTTGAAATATGACCTTGAAGAATGTGTGGTCTTCTCTGTAGAACTTCTCTAAGTCCATATAGAACGTTTAGAACGAAGAAAGCTTCGTTATAGTTTAATGTTGGCGCGTAAACAACGAAGATTGTTAAAACCGGAATTGATCCACATTTTTTTAATCGTAAACGTCCGATTCGGGTTGTTAGTTGTTCGATTGATTGAATGTTCATGGATAAACTCGTGTTGACGAGAACGCCGTCGCCGCCGTCTCCTCTACTGTTGCATGTTTCGTGGAACAGTTCTTCTCCGGTGTTCTAGACGGCGTTGAATGGGTGGCATCTTCTCGTTTCGGCCAGGCCGATGACGTCGTACCCTATCCTTCTTGTTTGCATTTGGAGGAGGCTCTTTCGGGGCCGGGAGACGAGGCCGTTTTTTACGGTGTTTAGCATTTCTGATACCCACGTATAGCTTGCTGGGCTCTAACGTGGGGGCTGGGTGTACTCACGGGTAGCTTGCCAGGTTCTCCCAGAGTGGACATGGAGATTTCTTGGAGGCGACTTCTAACCGCCTTCCATATACTTCTCAGTCACTTGATTGCAAGCGTTTGGCCGAATTGACTCGTAGAATACAATCCGCATAAGCAAGAACGCACCCACACACGCATGCATGAATACGCCTAGCAAATAAAGAAAGTATGTGCCAAATCAGCGCAGCAGAAACAGGGAGTCCATCCCTTGGATCGACCTACGTCTGAGGGAAGCAAAGGTGGCTTTTGGTCCGCGATTAACCCCCTATCCGTCCTATCCGCCACCTGGGGAAGCGCCACGTAGCCTCGCGACTAGCCGGCCCGAGATCCCTCGTATGAGGAAGATCCGTGGGAAACCTTTTTCATACTCTTGGTAACAGATTGTAATTATATGATCATAACGAAGGGCAAATATGTCACCTGTTCAGTTGTCGCCCCTTCGACTTCAGCGGTCGTCTCAAGTACAAACCACAGTGAGTTTCCAGGTAGAAGTAAGGGTACTAATGGCCAATCTTTCGAACCAAAATACCTTTAACAAAATGTTTCATGCTAAGTAGTCCTTGTTCCGATTAGATAAGAATGAACCGGGAGCAATTATACGAGGATAAACACCGCAAATCAAATAAGGCAATCGAATAATAATAATAATATGGAAAAGAAATTGATATACAAACCTCCCGATAGGAACATAGCACTCCTTATTTATACCTACATAAATATAGAGTTGGTCATCAGCCTGAGCTGTTTCACAGGAAGGTGAAAACTGTATACATTGGAAATACACCGACTCCTCGAAGGCAACCATCTAAACAACTTTGTGTACAGCCAGCTACATGAAAGGACCTTCATCCAGAGCGTATCTACATCTGCTACACGGGAATCTATGGCCAATGGTAACACCCAGTACGGATATATGTTAGACGGAGAGAAATGTGCTAACCAATTAAGTGAGCTCGTGATTCAAGGAATTAAGGATAGCGAGAAATAGGAACTAACGTAGCACTACGACAGGAAATTGAGATCGAAAGTGCGCAAACTCACCACAGAATGCACACTGTTTGTCTTGTAGGGGTGTGTGCTCTCAACGGTAATCTGAGTGCTTTTCGCTTCAGAAATTTCAGAATGCTGGTCCGGTGATTCGTTAAAGGCACTTGACTTTGTTGTCCCATTTACCGTTGACACCATTGGTATTAGTTGCTCAAGTACACATGTGACCTGAACTAGTAAAGTTTAATATTAACGTCTTGCATATCTACATCTACATATGTAAACCTTCGAATTAACTTATTCCCTAGAAAACTTATCGTTTAAATAAAAAGTGGTTTCAAATATAACAAAGGACCTCCATCGCTTTACGAGGGTTGAGCTCCATGAAAACCATAATATGACCAGAAATTCGAGAGATTAGTGACCTTAAACACTAAGTGTATAATAAGCACACATTAAATGGAAATATAATAACAATGACAGAACTATAGGACGATTTTTTTTTAAGAATCAGAAAACTATTTTGAAGTGTGGCTTGAAAATAACCTTGCACACGACGGGATTTGACCGTTCACAAGATACGCGCCAATTTTATTAGACAGAAGACGAAGCAGCATGAGAAATGACTTGTGAATCTGAAAAACCACCACCTAAAGAACATTCGATGTGTTGTTTGGGAGCATTTTAGAGGAAAGAAGTAAAATTTATAGCCGTAAAGCTAGAGGCAAGATTAGAGTTACAAAAAGTTCACAAAAAATTCTCTGCACCTAAGAAGGAATTAGGAATTTCTGCATTCTTTGACAGAAAATACATGCCTCTTCCTCTACTGTGTTCAGATCCTTCTTCTCCGTTTCAACCACAGAGTACAGGAAGTACGGTATTTGCCCACGTTGCAAAGAAGTGCCATTCTCACTGAAGAGACATGAGGAGAAGGTAACACGAGCGGCGTTGTTCAGTCGTATAGAGTTCACTCCGCCTTAATAAAAACAAAGCTGATATGAGAAAACCTAGAAAAACTGCGTTTTTCGAGTTTGCTTTATGTGGTCGTCTATGTGTAAAAAATCGGAAACTCTTATCGTGAGTTTACACCTAACTCCATGTCAAATTCGACTAGTGAATTAGATAGATGCTAGAAAAAGTTAAAATGTTGATTTTCTTCGTATTTTTGTTGAGCAAACGCGAGGTGTTACTATTCTTTGCTCACGATTAAGCTGACCTTTCGGCGAATTTCGTCTTCCTCAGAGCCTGGAAAGGTCAAGTTGACAGCAACTCACTCGGCCAGACGCCTCCATAACCAAACAAAGAAACTCCAAACCAAGATTTCAATCACTTTGAACACAGCTCTGCACACTCACCGCTTTCTATGAGGTTTCCACTAAGTATGTCACGCAGAGACCAACCGCACAGAAATCACGTGGAAGCATAATGTGCCCCTCACATCAGAAAAGCAGTTTTATATACTGCCCTATATACTAAAGTAGCTTTGCGAGGAAAATTCGAAGACCTTTTGAGTAAATCACATAATACAGCTTCAATAGCGCACAAAAATATCGCTAAATAACATCAAACAGATCACGTTAGGATAGGTAATGTGCAAGAAAATTCAAGACTAACCGTGTTAGGAGGCATAACTCTCCCTGACGGTGCGCGCTCGTTATTAGAATTGGGGCCGAGTTTCTCACCATCTGAACCCATTTCTAAGATAACCTTGCGTAGGGTCGCATGTGGTTTACATGAACTTCAAGATAAACTCCGCAAAAAAGCTAGAGATGAAGCGCTAAATAAGTGNGTGCAAGAAAATTCAAGACTAACCGTGTTAGGAGGCATAACTCTCCCTGACGGTGCGCGCTCGTTATTAGAATTGGGGCCGAGTTTCTCACCATCTGAACCCATTTCTAAGATAACCTTGCGTAGGGTCGCATGTGGTTTACATGAACTTCAAGATAAACTCCGCAAAAAAGCTAGAGATGAAGCGCTAAATAAGTGCGAACAACATCAAGTGGGTGCCCTACCAATAGCACCATTTCCCCCAATGTTCTTTAGACAGCAAGAGCCCAATAATGAAGTTGATGTTAAATTTCGGATGTTTCCGAATGAAACTCTCAAAGTCCTTA